AAACGCGCGCGCGTCAGCCCCACGCGACAGGGCGGGGGCAGAGCACCCCACCCACCGGGAAACACCAGCGCCCAGGCCGCAGGACTGCCGGGGTGGCCAAGGGAGGACGTACCCGAAAACATTCCAAGCGGAGGCCACAGGCAGGCGCTTGGCAATCTCACTGTTCCCCAGGCGGCTGTGCCGGGCTCCCTCTTGGCACGGTCAGCATTTTCACCTGCCTTCTCCGGAGAGCAAAAATCCTGGGGCTCAAGAAAGTCGACTACTCAAGTAGTCAGCAGACAGTGATGTTCCCAAACCCCTCCTTTCCCCCTGAAGGACGAAGGGAATCCTTCCAGAGGCGCTGGGGTGCACAGGCTGCCCAGACCCCAGTCCCTCCACCCACTGCCCCTCTCCCCGCCCCTTCCTTCCTGTCCCCCTGAGTATTTAACCTCTACCCTGTAGCTCTACCTCCGAAACCTTGGTAGCCAGAGATGGGGACACAGCCCGCGGAGCAGGTGGGAGTGGGGAAGGGCAGGGTGGGGACCCAGGCGCCAGGCCTCTGCCAGCCCCTCTCCTGTGTGCGCGCTCACCACGCTGAGCCACAGCTCCAGAGCCCCTCGGTGTGAGAGGCTGCCGGGGGCCTGTGGTGGTGGGAGAGGTGGGCAGGGGTGGAGCCTGGCTGGCAAGGGAGACAAATCCGCCCCTCATCCAGGTTGGAGCCCAGGGTCCCAGGTCCAGCCAAGCATGCACATGGCCGTCTGCCAAAAGAGGGCGCTACAGGGTGAAGGACGAGCTGGGATTTATTAATAACACTATAAGCGGGTGGTCTATGGATAGCTAGGTGCTTCACCCCGTTAGCACTCATACTTCAAACATTCCTCTCTGCAAGCCTGGCCAGAGACCTGGACAGGATTTCCAGGTGCTTGTGAGGTTCCTGAAGTCCAGAAAGAACGGTGGCTTGCTCAAGGTCACCCCGGAGGCTGGCTGAGGAGGCCGCAGGGTGCGAGGGAGGTGTGCTGGGAGGTGGGAGGGCCTCTCCCTATGTGTTGTCGGCGGGGTCGCGGGTCCCCGTGGTGGGCAGGTGTAGCTGGAGCAGGCACAAGAGCTTCTCACTCTGTCCACCCTCCTGTTCCTTCCCCAGGTGTCCTGGGGCTCCTACTCTGGGGACACAGAGGACCCGTACTCAGCTGAGACACTGCCTGAGATCTGCTCCAAGGCTGATGTGCAGGCCTTCAGCCGTGCCTTCCAGCCCAGCGTGCTGCTGACAGTGGCCTTCCTGGGCCTGGCGGGCAACAGCCTGGTCCTGGCCACGCATCTGGTGGCTCGGCACGCGGCGCGCTCACCCACCGCGGTGCACCTGCTGCAGTTGGCCCTGGCTGACCTCCTGCTGGCCCTGACCCTGCCCTTCGCTGCGGCAGGG